AGACGGAGTTTCGCTCGTTACCCAGGCTGGAGTGCAATGGCGCGATCTCAGCTCACCGCAACCTCCGCCTCCTGGGTTCAGGCAATTCTCCTGCCTCAGCCTCCTGAGTAGCTGGGATTACAGGCACGCGCCACCATGCCCAGCTAATTTTTTGTATTTTTAGTAGAGACGGGGTTTCACCATGTTGACCAGGATGGTCTCGATCTCTTGACCTCGTGATCCACCCACCTCGGCCTCCCAAAGTGCTGGGATTACAGGCTTGAGCCACTGCGCCCGGCTCAATTTTTATTATTTATTTATTTGAGACAGGCTGTCACCCAGGCTGGAGTGTAGTGGCCGTATCTTGGTTCACTGCAACCTCCACCTTCAAGGTTCAAGTGATTCTGATGCCTCAGCCTTCTGAATAGCTGGAATTACAGGCATGTGCCACCACGTCCAGCTAATTTTTATATTTTTTAGTAGAGACAGAGTCTTGCCATGTTGGCCCAACTGGTCTTGAACTCCAGCCTCAAGTGATCTGCCCACCTCGGCCTCCCAAAGTGCTAGGATTACAGGTGTGAGCCACAGTGCCTGGCCCTCTATTTTTTTTTTATGTAAGATGAGCAAAAAGTGACTGGAATATCTATAGGCCTGAGTCTTTTGGGTACCAGAGTATTTTATTTTTAGACACAGTCTTGCTCTTACCCAGGCTGTAGTGCCAATAGTGGGATCTTGGTTCACTACAACCTCTGCCTCCTGGGTTTAAGAGAGGTGCCCACCACCATACCTGGCTAATTTTGTATGTTTTTTATAGAGAAGGTTTTTCACCATGTTGGCCAGGCTGGTCTCAAACTCCTGATCTCAAGTAATCTACCTGCCCCAGCCTCCCAAAGTGCTAGGATTATAGGTATGTGCCACTGCGCCCAGCCCAGAGTAATACACACACACACCCCAGAACTATGTTTTTTTGTTTGTTTTTGACACAGAGTCTCACTCTGTCACCAAAGTGGAGTGCTGTGGCGCAATCTTGGCTCACTGTAACCTTCTACTTCCTGGTTCAAGTGATTCTCCTGCCTGAGTCTCTCGAGTAGCTAGGGATCACAGGTGTGTGCCACCATGCCCAGCTAATTTTTGTATTTTTAGTAGAGACAAGGTTTCACCATGTTGGCCAGTATGGTCTCAATCTCTTGACCTTGTGATCCGCCCACCCCAGCCTCCCAAAGTGCTGGGATTACAGCCGTGAGCCCCTGTGCCCAGCCCAGAACTATGTTTTCTAAAGGTCATAGTGCTCCATGTGAAAGCAGCTTACTCACCTGGCAAGAAAATAAAGTTTAAAATGTTGGCAGACCAAGAGGCTGAGATGCCTCCACAGCAACATGCAAAGCCAGTGAGTAAAATCTTGGTTTCTAAATCTCATTCTCCTAAAAGAAATCAGGGATTCTTGTAGAAATGGCTGATTCTAGGACTGACACAGGGAAAATACAAGATATGTCTGTGGCATCTTGTGATGTCAGAATATGTGTGCTCTATAAACAAAAGCGTGGCCGGGCATGGTGGCTCATGCCTGTAATCCAGCCTAACTAACATGGTGAAACGCCATCTTTAAAAATAAATAAATAAATAGCATGAGGCAATGTCCAGAGACACATAAGATAACTGGAAAGAGCCCCTAATGGCTAAAGCTGGAATAATTTGAACAACACAATCATGTGCTATTGGATTATAATTCAAAGTATGAAATATACATGAGCCCACACTGATATATAGACACAGATATATCCATGTGTGTACATTTTTATATATACACACATATAAATACGTATGAGTGACTAAATAAACAAATGGAGAGGAGAGACATCCTCCTTGTTGGAAAATTCCAAATAATTTAAGTAGACACTTCCCACTCTAGAAGGGAAGTGAAGCTTAATTCTCTCCTACTCCCACCTCTCTTCCCAAGTGCGGGCTGGATTTAGTGACTCTCTTTCAAATAGACTAGAGTAAGAAAGGAAGGAAAGAAAAGTAACTCTAGAGCAGAGAAATCTGGCAAACACCAACCTAACCGAGTAAAGATACCATGTGAGTATCTGGCACCTGCTGATATACGAGAAGAGAACTTCATTTATATAGTATTTTAGTTTTTATTTCTTAGAGACAGGGTCTCATTCTGCTGCCCAAGCTGAAATGCCCTCATAGCTCACTGCAGCCTTGATCTACCGGACTCAAGTGATTCTCCTGCTTTAGCTTCCTGAGCAGCTGAGACTATAGGTGTGCATCACCATGCCTGGCTAATTTTTAAAGGTTTTTGTACAGATGAAGGGACTCGCTGTATTGTCCAGGCTGGTCTTGACCTCCTGACTTCAAGTAATCCTCCTGCCTTGGTCTTCCAAAGAGCTGGGATTACAATATGAGGTTATTTTTATCCAAAATATATAACCTCACTTTAATCATGAGATAAACACCAGACAAATACAAATTGACAGACATTCTAAAAAATGTCTCACTATTACTCCTCAAAATTGTCAAGGTCATGAAAAACAAAGACCAAAAAACTGTGAGAAGTCCAGAGGACACTAAGGACATGGTGACTTAGATGCAATGTAGTATCCTGGATTGCATCCTGGACCAGAAAAGAGACATTGGTGAAAATCTAAATAAGTCTTAAGTTTAGTTAAAAGCAACATACTATAAAGCTGGTTTCTTAGTTTTTACAAATGTCCTATGGTAATATAAGATATTATTATAAAGGAACTGGGTAAGGGGTATATGGAACTTTCTGTAAAATCTTCAACTTTTCTGTAACTCTAAAATTATTTCAAAATAAAACAGTAACTGAAAAGCATGTCATATGATTCTCTGTAGCTTGATATATAAATCATCTCATGATTTGGTAATACAGTGATCCTGGGTTTTTTTTTAAGTCCCTAAATAATATTTTATGCCAGTGGGCATGTAGTTATCATGTCAATTCTAAGTCAATAGAACTTAGAATTCTGTTGACTCCCTACTTGGCCTGAGCCTGTAGTCCCAGCTACTCGGGAGGCTGAGACAGGAGAATCCCTTTAACCCAAGAGGCGGAGGCTGCAGTGAGCCAAGATGGTGCCACTGCACTTCCACCTGGGCAACACAGTGAGATTCTGTCTCAAAAAAAGAAAAATTCAAGAAAAAAAAGCAAACGAAAAGTAATGCAAAATGTTACTCCCTACAAAATGGGGAATATGAAAGCATGTGCTGATGACACAGTTGAAACTGAAAAACTGGATTCCTTTTTTTTTTTTTGAGACGGAGTTTCGCTCTTGTTACCCAGGTTGGAGTGCAATGGCGCGATCTCGGCTCACCGCAACCTCCGCCTCCTGGGTTCAGGCAATTCTCCTGCCTCAGACTCCTGAGTAGCTGGGATTACAGGCACGCGCCACCATGCCCAGCTAATTTTTTGTATTTTTAGTAGAGACGGGGTTTCACCATGTTGACCAGGATGGTCTCGATCTCTTGACCTCGTGATCCGCCTGCCTCGGCCTCCCAAAGTGCTGGGATTACAGGCTTGAGCCACAGCACCCGCCCCCCCCCTTTTTTTTTGAGGTGAAGTTTTGCTCTGTTGCCCAGGCTGGAGTGCAATGGCATACTCTCAGCTCACTGCAACCTCCGCCTCCTGAGTTGAAGTGATTCTCCTGCCTCAGCCTTCCAAGTAGCTGGGATTACAGGTGCCTGCCACCACGCCTGGCTAATTTTTATATTTTTAGTAGAGATGAGGTTTCACCATGTTGGCCAGGCTGGTCTGGAATTCCCGACCTCAAGTGATCCACCTTCCTTGATGTCCCAAAGTGCTGGGATTACAGGCGTGAGCCACCATGCCCAGCCTCTATAAATTTTTTTAAGGAATAAAACAAGTGATGAAAACAGAATTTCCCCCCACCAACTTAGAATTCTATTGACTTAAAAGGAGCCATTTGAAACAAAAAGATAGGATGTCAAAAACTCCAGAATGATAACTTATTTGGAGAGTGGTTTTAAAGCTGTCTTTGCATTTAATTGCTGCAAACAGCCTAGAATAGATTTTGAAATATAATGAGAAAAAGAAAAAAAAAGATCTACCACAGTAATAAGGGCAGACACTTCTTAGTATGATAGGATGCTGATGCAGCATATGAATAACCTCTAGCTTTCTGTTTTCATGAAGAATATGAGATCCATGAAAGCAGAGACTACTTTGGTCACTGTTATCCTATCTCCACTTAGTGCACAGTAGATGTTCAGTTAAATACTGGCGGAACAAAACAAGTTCATGATGCAGTTATGGGCTGGCTTATTGGCCTATGCAAGAACCCAAAATAAGTTCATTTTGAAAATTATTATCATCTTTTGTTAGAAATGACCAAATGTTCATTTAAATTATTGAATAGCCGTAAGTTAACTGGTTAGAAAACAGGAATAAGCACCTTAATAAATGCACTAAAAGAGGCATTGGGCCGGGCGCAGTGGCTCACACCTGTAATCTCAGCACTTTGGGAGACCAAGGAGGGCAGATCAGGAGTTTGAGACCAGCCTGGCCAATATGGTGAAACCCCATCTCTACCAAAAATACAAAAAAATTAGCAGGGAGTGGGGGCACATGCCTGTAATCCCAGCTTCTTGAGAGGCTGAGGCAGGAAAATTGCTTGAACTCAGGAGGTGGAGGTTGCAGTGAGCCGAGAGCATGTCACTGCACTCCAGCCTGAGTGACAGAGAGAGACTCCATCTCAAAAAACAAAACAAAACAGCATTAGACCTGTTTCCAAATTTGAAATTGGTGAAAGAACTTTTGCTACAGCTTGAAGGAGTGCTGGCATATCAATGTTGGCAATGTCACCTAATACATTAAAACAAAAATTGCCAAACCCTATATTCCAGTAAAAAGACTAAAAAGGGTAATAATCTTGACAATGTTTTGTAGTTCGGTTGATATTATATGGGTCAATTATCTTACTTTGCGTATATTTTGTCATTAGGTAACTTTTCTAATCCTAGCAAACATTCTGTGTCCACAGCAACAAGGCAGTCCAAGCTTATTTTGTAGTCTCGTCATCACACTTCATGTTACAGGTGAGATTTCTAACATTATTTGTCATTGTACTAGAGATGTTTATATCTTAAGATATTTTTCAACCCTTTAATTGTTCCTTCAAAAATATTTCTCTCTCTCCTCCATTCCTTACACTTGTTAATATCTAAAATACTGATAAATAGGCCATCTCTACTACCTGAAATCCCTCCCTCATCAGACCCCTGCAAAAAACAGCTACTGATTCTCAAGATGCAATCACCACCCTGTATTCCCCGAAACCCCCCATTCCTCAACCCCTGTGAGTGCTACCAATACCTTCTAAAACTTCTATCACTCAGAGGAGATTCCTTGATCATAATTGTCTCACTTTGATTCTGGAGGCTGTTAACTCAGTTGATCATAGAACCAGGTTGCTTCTCCCAACTGAGGGATCCCAGGCAAAGCCTGTGGTCAGGCCCCAGAACAGCTTTTCAGGTCCTATGTTTTATGGCTGATGCTGTCACGTGCCTTTCAAAAGACTTTCAGGACTTGTTCCTTCAACAATAGTATTCTGTGGTGGTATGTACCTATAATCCTAGCTACTTGGGAGAGTAAGGCAGGCAGGAGGATGGCTTGAGCCCAGGAGTTAGAGGCTATAGTGAGCCATGATCAAGCCACTGCACTCCAATCTGGGTGACAAAGCAAGACCCTATCTCAAAACAAAACAAAAAAGCAGCATACAGCAGGGGTCCCCAGCCCCTGGGCCAAGGACAGGTACTGGTCCATGGCCTGTTAGAAACTGGGCTGCACAGCAGAAGGTGAGCGGTGGGTGAACAAGCATATCCACCTGAGCTCCACCTGCTGTCAGATCAGCGACGGCATTAGATTCTCATAGGAGCATAAACTCTATTGTGAGCTGCACATGTAAGGGATCTATGTTGCGCATTGGGGACCACTGGCATACAGCATTCCACCGCTTAAAAATGGCCTCTGTGGATTTATGTAGTGGGATCTTATATTGCGTTCAACTACACTCCAGAAAAACATTTCATTTCTATAGAAAATTTTGTTCTTGTGTTTCACAAGTCTTGCCAAGTCTCTTAATGTGGATATTTTTTCAGAGATGGAAGCCGGCAGGAATCTCGTTACCCAGATACAAAAGACGAAGACCATTTATCTGGGAGTAGTCTGGCTTTCTTCATCAATACATTTTGTAGGGTGATGGCCCACAAACAACTCAAATGGAAAACCATCTGTAGAGACTGCAACTCTAGGGTTAGAAAGGGTAGGAAAATGAGAAAGCACAGCACTCCAATATCTGTAGGAGAAGCAGAGGCCAAAGCAGAGGCCCACGGTTAGCTTTATACTCACCAGAATGGCTTGAATCAGGTTGGAGTTGGCAGACAATGTGATTTTCATACATAGTATTGGTTTGATTTTAAATCCCACCCCTACATTTGTAAAAGCGTAACACAGCTTTTGGTTTTATTCATTCTTCAGAAGACATCTTTGGGTTTCTTAAGCATTACAGGCAATTGACGGAAGATTTTAAAATCAGTGGTAGTGACAGTCTCAAAGTGAATTAGTGTCCTAAGTCTGGATACATATAGTGGAAAACTTAGTTATCTAAATGACTGCCCTGAGGTTTGCTGTCCTGAATGCATTTCTAGTTGGTGTTGGAAATAAGTTTTACTGGACTCCCAGAGGGGCATTCCCACCCAAGCATAAGTGTCCTCCTTACTCACAAAGTAACTTGCCTTTTCAGCGAGTAGAGACATATACATACATATATGTGCACGTACATAAAAGTGCACACGCGCGCACACACACTCACTCACTCTTGTTTTATCTCTCTCCCCTCAGGAGTGATTTGAATTAGATAATAAATAGCCAGAGAGCACCCCCAGGAATGGGAACACATGCAGCAGCTGCCCAAAGGAGAAGTCACTTTACTTTCTTTTAAACTTGCAATGTTTGTCTTTATTTTGTTCTTTATATTTTCAAAGTGAAAAGAAATAGTATTGAGTCAATTTCTTTTTGTTTTTTTAAATATTTGTTCTATGTATTTACAAGCCTTAAAGTTGCTCTAAAGATTTCAAAATTATTAAGAGTACTTTGACCAGGGTAGCACTTTTTTTTTTTTAAACAATTCTTGGAGTTCTGTGGTCCACAGCATTTCCTTCTGTTTCAATGTTATGTATGTTTTGATTACTATTGTGATTTTTTAAATTTTCTGAAGCAAGCTGAGAGGCAGGCAGAAAGATTTGATGCCAAAAAAAAAAAAAATCTTTCTTACCTTGTTCACCCCAAACTTTCTCAAATCTGAACTAAATGCTCTACCTTAAAACAAACATGAGGTGCATCTGAAGGGGAGGGAAATTTATTTCTCTGCTTTTCTATTATACAAGTTGTTTACAGAAACTGCAAATTAAAAAATTACACTGGCATTTGCAGTCCTTAAAATAAATTAAAAGTTCTCAACATTTTTTTTGCTAAACATTTTTTTTTAAAGTATGAGTCCTTATTTAAAAAGAAAAGATTAAAACAGAAAATATTTTCTATAAATAATACATGTATTTTGGTTTTAGTGCTCCCGCCCTAAGGTTTGAAGTTTACTTTTTCCAGTACCTTTTTCCTCCATGATCACCTTTTTTTCTCTTTTCCCTCTCCCACTCGTGCACACGTGGGGGTTTCTGCGAGAATTGGCCTTGCTGCACTGTGATTGGCGAAGACATGAAACTTTTTAAAAAAATACTTAAATTGTTTCTTTTGTTTCCTTTTGTGTATTTGAAGTTTTAGTTATCTTCGGACTCCTCTTCTGCTTCCCGCAGCCACGTGAAGAATGCCGTGACAGATTTCAGGGCCACTCCCTTCCCATTCTGCTCTGCAGGGTCCTTGCTGCTCTCCCATTTGTAGAAGGCATCCTCGGAGATCACCTCCTCATCATATAGGCAATCAAAAAACATCCGCAATAGATCTGCAAGGAGGGTGAAAATAAACTATAAGCTTTGGGACACTGTAGTTATGAGGAAAAGAATGTATTTCAAAATAATGAATGACTGAATAAATGCACATTAATTCCTCCAGAAAAAAGCAATAATGGCAATTCATCATACTAGCTCTTGATGGTAGAAACAGCCCAACAACTTGTTTAAATAAGAGGGAAAAAAGATTGAAGCAGTCTAAATTATTTTTTATGCCTATTAATTTGTTCAGTTTAAACTTTTTTTTTTTTTTTTTTTTTTTCTTTTTTTTGAGAGACAATCTTTCTCTGTCCCCAGGCTGGAGTGCAGTGGTGCAATCTTGGCTCACTGCAACCTCCACCTCCTGGATTTAAGCAATTTCCCTGCCTTGGCCTCCCAAGTACCTGGAATTACAGGTGCCCGCCACCACACTCAGCTAATTTTTATATTTTTAGTAGAGACAGGGTTTCACCATGCTGGCCAGGCTGGTCTCAAACTCCTGACCTCAGGTGATCCGCCTGCTTTGGCCTCCCCAAGTGCTGAGATTACAGGCGTGAGCCACCGCGCCTGGCCCTATTTGAACTATTTTCTGATACTTGTGAAGCTGTTTCATATGATGTTTATCCCAACCTAAACACTGCAAAATTTATGAGTAGATTTTTACTTTCTTTTTACTATTTTCTGCATTGAAAGTTTACTGTATTATTTTTACAAATTTGGTGGGGGGGCCACGTGGAAAGGCAGGATATGCTTTTTCTTCCTTGTATTGTTGTTTTAAAAATGAAGAGGTAATCATTCACATGGAAAACATGGGTAAAGGATTTATCCAGTGAAACTATACCTGTTATTTATCGTTCTAAATGTCCAAACTATCTGTGTGATTTTAATTCTCAGTTTTACTCTCAGAGTAAAACTGAGAATTATAGTTATCAAGATAAGAAGTTATTATTAGTTATTATAGTCAGCCCTCTGATCATTTATATTAATGGAGGGAGGCAGTAGAATAAACAATAAATGCGAATCAATATTAGGTTTATCATAAGTCATATTAACCTTTTTTTTTTAATTTTTTTTTTTTTTGAGATGGAATTTCGCTCTTGTTACCCAGGCTGGAGTGCAATGGCGCGATCTCGGCTCACCGCAACCTCCGCCTCCTGGGTTCAGGCAATTCTCTTGCCTCAGCCTCCTGAGTAGCTGGGATTACAGGCACACGCCACCATGCCCAGCTAATTTTTTGTATTTTTTAGTAGAGACGGGGTTTCACCATGTTGACCAGGATGGTCTCGATCTCTTGACCTCGTGATCCACCCGCCTCGGCCTCCCAAAGTGCTGGGATTACAGGCTTGAGCCACCGTGCCCGGCCATATTAACCTGTTTTTTTTGAGATGGGGTTTTGCTCTTTTTGCCCAGGCTCAAGTGCAATGGCATGATCTTGGCTCACTGAAACTTCTGCCTCCTAGGTTCTAGTGATTCTCCTGCCTCAGCCTCCACAGTAACTGGGACTACAGGCGCGAGCCACTATGCCCAGCTAATTTTGTATGTTTAGTAGAGATGAGGTTTCACCATGTTGGCCAGGCTGGTCTCGAACTCCTGACTTCAGGTGATCCACCTGCCTTGGCCTCCCAAAGTGCTGGGATTACAGGCGTGAGTCACTGCACCTGGACCATATTAACTTTTTTAAAAAAGATTTATCTTTGTAATTGTATTAGTCAAGGTAATATTATCAAATTCTCTGATTCACAGTAGATTGTCTTTTCAATTATATTATCAGGATAATTTGTTTTGATCTTTTCCTTTATCTCCCAGAGCGATTCAGCAGGACTATGAAAGAAGGAATTTTATAAAACCAAAAATAAGGAAGTACCAAAGAACTACTTCAGTGGTATCTCTAATAGCCATGTACTGCCCACGTTCACAAATTTCAACCAAATTTTCAAGATGTAATAAAAATGATTAGTTAATGCTAAGTATCATTAAGATTTAAGCGTACAGGTTATTTTGTTTCATTAGCCAAGAATTAATTATAACAACTAAAATCTATTCTGAAACTCCTTAGTAAATACACCATGGTAAATATACTATACTTAGAGTCTTTGTTGGGTGTCTAAAGATTCTAGAATGTCATCTTCAACATCATTAACCATTTT